CCATTAGGTTTATTCAATCAACTATACATAGATTGGATGGTGGTATCAACGATCTATAAGATCAATAGTGGTATCATACATAAGTACAAGTAGTTTGAACCGTTTGACGTTTGGAATTTGCTATGAATAAACTTGTACATATATGGTGGTTTGGACCTGTCATGTTTCCGTCGTACACTCAGGCCGGGTAGGCTTTGAGGAACATTGGGGGTTCCTTATGTTGTGACTGAGCATATATGTCTATTGTGCCCGGCAAAAACAGATTTGCAAGGAGTTTGCCAAAGGCTTTCTCATTCGGACAATTTCAAGTATATTTCCCTTCTCCATTCTCTGCTAGGACCCTATTTCAAGTGCAAGGAACTTGAACCGAAAAATAAGAAAGGCACTTTTCCTATCTTTTCACGTTAAGGCGGAGCAGTCAGGTAACGAACTGGAAACCGGCTAACGTTACTAGTTTTTTCGATTTTGACTGAATTGGTCGGAGCGTAGACAAGCAAGCAGAGCCCAGGAAAGAGGTCAGATTGTCATAGAGCAGTCGACTATAAGCATAAGACTGCTGGCCTGAGAGAAGGCAGTCTCTCTCGGGAAACATGGCCCAATTTCTTTCTTTCTTTTCACACGGGCAACAATTGGGAATAAAACAATGAGGGATATCACGGTCATGAGATGGTGTCTTACGGGCACAGCTACGCATTTCACAGCCCAGGCGCGACAGCCGACGCACCGCACCACACGGCTTTCACTTTGCTTTGCACGTTTTTGCCCGGCCGGCACAGCAGTGTCAGCCAAAGCGGCAGATCAAGGCTTGGGTGGTTGTGGCCAGGCTTGCCGGCCTGATGTTTCTCAGCCGGATGAGCACATCCAGGCTGGCCCATAGGCTGCGCAAAAGAGGTGACCGCCCCGGGCCCTAAGAGGGAAGGGCCCCCAACTACAAATTACAGTATTAAATACTATACAATTATATATTACATCTAAAATATTATTAAATGCATAAGATGTTGGAAATATGAGCAATTTACCAACTACCCGAAAAGACATTGAAAGAGCATTCGGGGTTTTACAATCTAGGTTTGCCAATGTTCGTGGTTCTGCTCGTTTTTGGGACAAGAGGACCTTGAAAAATATCATGACATGTTGCGTTATCCTTCACAATATGATTCTCGAAGATGAGAGAGGAATGAACTTGGAGTTCTTCTACGACTATGTGGGTAGCCGTGTCAAACTAGCTAGAGACCCTAACCACATTAGAGCTTTTCTTCAAACCTACAAAGAGATTGAAAACGCAAACACCCATTTTCAGCTTCAGAAGGATCTCATTGAGCACCATTGGCAAAGGGCTGGACAGTAACAAACTCATTTTTCTACTCATTTGTATTTGTATTCGGGACAAATTTTGTATTGCATTATTTAGTTTGCTTCGGTGATTTGAATAATTATTTGTAATGTGAATGATTGTTGTATTGTGCTGGTATTGAATAATTATTTAGTTTGCTTCCGTGATTTGAATAATTATTTTGTAGTGTGGATGTTTGTTTTATTTTGGGAAAAGTATTTTTTTTGTCCCTCAATTATTTTGAAAGTTTAGATTCGGTCCTTCAACTTCAAAACCGGCAAAAATTAGTCCCTCAACTCTTTAAACCGGATAAGTTTAGTCCTTGTCTCAGCCGACCCGGTATTACTGGTGACACAACGTGGTTTTGACCGGTCTTCGCTGACGTGGCAAATTTTCTCTCTCCTACTCCTTGTATCTCTTCTTCCTCTCATCTCTCTTTAGTGAGCATTTGATCGAACAACTTGTGTGCGCGCCTGCCCTCCCGCCAACGGCACCACTTCGTCGTCCCACTACGCAACACCAGCTAGGAACACGCTGACGGCACCACCGGCCGGACCTACACGCATTGGATGGTCGTTGATGTCAGGCGCTGGGTCCCGCGACTCGCCCTCTCGACACGTCGATGATGGCCGCCGGTTGCAGACATTGCGGAGGCGCTTGTGTTCGCTGGCTTCTTCCTCGTCAGTCGTCACTGATGCTCAATGGCGGACATGTTGCTGGTCTGGAGGCGCACAGCCGCGAGCAACACATGGTCCGCACGCTAGCCGACTCATAGCTCGCTTGCGTGTTCTACAAATCTCGCTGCTGCGAGCCTCTCACACCTCGTCGCATCTACGGGAGCTCCGAACTGTCGTTGGGGACTGGGGTCGCTGGCTCGTGCGTCTGCTGCCGAGCAAACCATCGCCATGCAGCGCCCTCTGCACCTCGGGTTTCTGCGGGGCCGACGCTTCTCCGCCGCCGAACTGCCTATCCCCGCGCAGCACTCGCTGCTGCCATTGGTGCACCCTTGGTCGCCATTTGCCGTGCCTGTGTTGGAAGTCGTCGTCGTGCCACAACTCGCATCCGTTACCACATGCTAGAGCGTCGCCGCCGTCGTCATACCACAAATCGCCGTCGTCTCCATCATAGGATGGAGCGCCCGTGCCTACGCTGCAGAAGAAGTACAGGGCATATGCCTCACCCGTGGGGCGTCCCTGGCTGCAGTGTTGGTCTTGGGTGCAACACTTCCTCCGGTGCTTGCACAATACCGCTTTGACCATGTAGCTAAACAGGGTTTGACCGAGGCAAGGACTAAATTTATCCGATTTTAAGAGTTGGGGGACTAAACTTTGCTGATGCTGGAGTTGAGGAACCAATTTTATACTTGCGAAAGAATTGAGGGATAAAAAAAATATAATTTTCCTTTTTATTTTTATGGTGTGGTATTGATATTTGCGGACCGGCGGGATGCGGGATGCAGCGGCGCAAGAGCAGACCCTGCAAAACCGACCCGTAAAATGATATATTCCGCAAATATCCTTTTATACTGGTTCGTTTGGGGGTCTGCCTCTACGGCCGTCCACGCCGGCCTGCAAAGCCGTTTTTCCGTGAACTGCAGACGTGTTTTGCGGACCGGCGGGATGCGAAGTCTGCTAGAGATGCTTTTACAACCCACCAACGAATCCAATCCCTCATTTTTTTCCTTCCATTCCAGAAGAAATAGTCAATCGATCCTTCCGCTGGGATTTTATTTGTTTGTTAGGAAGGGGGGCCCACTATACCTTCATTGTCTCTCTTTTCTTCTCCTCTCTCATCAAAATCAATCAATCCATCCAGAACTATGCTTCATTTAGGCAAATTTGACAAATTTAACCTATAAACGAAATCAAATCACAGAATGAATTGTCCGTGAAACTATTTCACGCGGCTGACCTTTTTGTGTGACGCCCGACACGTAGGCGCCACACTACACTATGCAACGCCTCATAGATAGGCGCTACACGCCTGGCCAGTGTTGAACCCCAGACTGCCTAAAAATTGCTAAGTCATTGTGCAGAGCCTAAGAGCTAGGCGCTGCACTGTATAGTGGGGCGCCTAGCTCTCAAGCGCTGCACTAGTGGTTGCACTACAAAATGAAGCAACCACCCTAGAAGCTAGGCGCTGCAATGTATAGTGTGGCGCCTAGCTCTCAGGCGCTGCACACTGACTTAGTAATTTTCGGATCACACGGGTGCGACGCTGGCCAGGCGTGTAGCGCCTATCTTTGAGACGTTGCACAATGTAGTGTGGCGCCTTCGTGTCGGGCGTTATACAAAAAGATCAGCCGCGTAAAATAGTTTCACGGACAGTTTATTCTGTGATTTAATTCCATCTATAGATTAAATTTGTCAATTTTGCCCTTCACTTGCGGGCATATCCCACGGAAAGCAAGTTACAGACTGATTTGGCAATGCCGCAATGGTTAATTGGAATTTGGAAAACACAGTCCGTAACTTGCTTTTCGTGGGATATGTCCGTAAGTGAAGCATAGTTCATTCATCCATCCCACTATACCTGGTCATATCTCGGGCCGGATCTAGCCAAGCCCGACGCAAAAAACTCAGGTCCGAGCCCGGCCCGGCCTGGACGTCGGGCCTGTTTTCTGGGCCCAAGCCCGGCCCGGACACGTAAAAGCCCGTCGGGCTTCGGGCCGGCCTGACATGTCCTTAGAAAAACGCGAAAATGATGGGCCCGGCCTTCGGGCTCAAAATCTAGGCCCGAGCCCGGCCCGGGAGCGGCGTCGGGCTGGGCCGGATCGGGCTTTTTCGGGTTGGGCCGTTCGTGCCGGGCTGCCCATGGCCAGGACTAATCCCCACGTACGCAACGCACGCCCTCCCGTCCCATCCCGTCCCATCCTTCCTTCGCGCGCCTCCCGTCCCATCCCGTCCGGCCTTCTTCCTCGACGCCAACGACCACGTTCGCCGCAGCCGACAAGCTTCCTCCCTCCTGCCCTCGAAAAAGCTGTCTTTTCTCTTCTTCTTCTTCCTTGAGGCGATCCAAGAGAGAGAGAGAAAGAGATCAAATTCCTCCGGCAAATCTCAAGTGCAGTGCAACTGCATGCCTCGCGTCGCCGCTCGCTCTCACCAAAACCACATGCATGCATGCATCGTCGCGCAAGGTGCATGGGTCACCTCTCTCACGCTCACCACCAACGGCCCTGTCCATCCCTGCATGCGTCAGCCACCGTCAAAGTCGACCGAGCCAAGGAACCGTATGTACGTCGCTAGCCCAGCGTGGGGCCCACCGTACGTCTTGCTCCTCGCCTAGCCACAGTACGTCTTTTTAGAGATTCCAATAAAAACTACATAAAAAGCAAATGAATGAATATGCACTCTAAAGAGGTAAAAGCATCCGAGGTACCCTAACTTGCATGAGATGTGATGTTTTAGTCCCAAACTTGCACAATGCAATTCCACCATACCCTAACTTGCATTGGATGTGATGATTTAGTCCCCGGCCTATCACAGAGTGACAAGTGACAGCCAGGTGGCTGGACAGTCATCGTGTGCACTTTTGCAAAAAACACCCTGCCGTTTTACCTAATCAACCCAAGCTACAGGAGAGCACCTGAATTAATTCTCCTTGAAATCCACTGCGCGTCCGAGGATATAGTTGTTGTCCATTCAATTAACATTAGCACGACCATTCAATGAACGAGGAGCTGGGCCAAGTATACACGATTCTCACGGATAAGACTGGGACTTTGAGAGTACGTATAATGTGCAGTATAATGTACGAGAGGCTGTCAAACTCTCAGAGTACGTATGGTGAAGCGACACAGAAGCACATAAATGATTACGCTGATGCTGGCCTGAGGACACTAGTTCTTGCATACCGTCAACTTGAGGAGATCGAATACACTAAATTCGAAAGGAACTTCACAGCAGCTAAGAATTCTGTCAGCGCTGATCGGGATGAGCTGATTGACGAAGCGACAGATTTGATAGAGAGGGATTTGATTCTGTTTGGAGCCACCGCCGTTGAGGACAAGCTGCAAAAGGGGGTGAGTAAATCTTATCTTCTTTCATGCTGTAAAATGGAACAGTTCAAGACTTCTCTTTGGTTTGCGCATGCTAATTTCCCTTTTTCTAGGTACCTAACTCACTGACTGCATCGACAAACTTGCTAAGGCCGGCATCAAGATATGGGTGCTGACGGGCGACAAGACGGAGACCGCCCTCAACATCGGGTATAGCATCTCTCCTAGATGTTTTGATGCTTATAGCGATATTTGGCCAATTTTATGAACTTAAAATCAGATGCTCTTTTTCACAGATATGCCTGCAGTCTACTCAGACAAGGGATGAAACAAATAACCATCACACTGGATACACCAGATATCATTGCCTTGGAGAAAGGTGGTGACAAAGGAGCCATTAATAAGGTAGATAAAGTATTGCAGATTATAGTTACCGAGTCCTCTGTCTAGTACACAGACCAATTCTTATGTAGTTTATACTATCTATGTGTTCATTTTCGGTTCTGTAGTGCATTACGTTTGGTAACAAATTAACTACATAACTGCCTGCATATTGATCAAACACTGGTTTGTTTCTCTCTTTTTTTTGACATGGAACACTCTTATTCCATTTATGACACGGCTGAGATGCTGGTTACATAACGGGTTACATCAGCAGGAAAATTGTCCAACTACAAACGCATTTCAGCATTAGCTAATCATGCGCCCCTTGCTGCCAGTACATGTGATAGCATGTTACAGTCACGTGAGACATGGACTACACTTGTGCTAATGAATTGTGAATTGAGTTTGGCCTTGATATCTCGAAACATTTGTCCCAGTGGAGCAAAGTCATAAGAGTTGGAGGTCACTGCTTGTTGCAAGTTGAGACTGTCAGTCTCAAAAATTACCCGCCCCACGCCCAGTTGGTCAGCTAGCTGAACAACATGTGAGAGGGATATGGTTTCAGCATGTAGAGCATCAGAAACGTCATCAGCAGATCCTGCTGCCAGGAACTTAATGTCTGATTCCGAATCTCTGCAAATCATACCCCACCCTCAATGGCCCAAACTTGCGTTAAATGAGGCGTCTACATTGATCTTAACACAGTCTTGTGGAGGGGTCTCCCATCTAGTTTGCGTCGATGTGTGAGCTACTGTTTTTGACGCGAAGAATTCCATCCAATCCCTGACATGGCGTCTCACAGCAAACTGAAACGCATCAACCTCCATTCCTTTCCTTCCATGATTTCCCCCATTCCGTTCAGACCACCACTGCCAGAGGCAAGCAAGTGTCAGTAATTTCTTTTCTTCCGGCAGATCAAAAAATGTCCGGAGAACTTGTTTTGGATTGGTGAATTGGACTAGCTCGGATCAGACATCATCAAGTAGCAGGGCTCTCCAGCGTTGTTTTGCTAGTTTGCATTTGAAGAATAAATGGCCTCCATCCTCAAAGTATTTCCCGCAGACTGCGCATCTAGTGTCCAGATCAACACCACTCCTATTTTATAGTCATATAAGTTGGGTGGCTGTTGTGTGCAAACCTCCACCAGAAAATGGTGCACTTTTGGCGGGCATCTAATCTTCCATAAAGAAGAGAACAACGATGAAAACTAGTCCTTCTTATCTGAACTTTGGCCAGCCTGCTTGCTCGCCTCCCTTTTAAGCACTACAACGTGAATCTTATATGCGGATTTGACTGAAAACATACCCTTATTATCGAAGTTAATGCTAATGCTAATGCTATCTGCAGTGCAGTTTCAGTTAATTGAATGGTCGTGCTAATGTTAATTGAATGAACAGCAACTATATCCTCGAAACGGACGCGAAGTGGATTTCAGGCAGAATTAATGCAGGTGCTCTCCTGTAGCGCGGGTTGATTATGAAAAACTGTAGGGTGTTTTTTGTAAAAGTGCGGGCGATGACCGAACCAGCCACCTGGCTGCCACTTGTCACGCTATGATAGGTCGGGGACTAAATCATCACATCGAGTGCAAGTTGGGGTATGATGAAGGTGCATTTTGCAAGTTTGGGACTAACACATCACATTCCATGCAAGTTAGGGTACCTGGGGTGCTTTTACCTCCACTCTAAAATATGTCTAGATATATCTGTATGTAGTTCATATTGAAATCTCTAAAAAGACTTGTATTTAGAAACGGAGGAAGTACCGATGATATATGTATGGAAAGGGCTATGGTTTATGTTGAAATGATCTTGAGTCGTTGAAGGCGTGCCTTCTATGCTTAGGATTGACTTTTAGTCTGATCAGGCTTCCTATGTGATAGATTGATGTTCTTGAGGGAAGGATCCTAACTATTGTCGTGTGGGTCACATCCTCTTCTTCTCCTTATGCTAGACCTTGGTAATACACCCGGAGAAGGAGATGCGACCATCACCGACGGTCAAAATATCTTGAGGGAGTGTCCATCACCGATGTTCTTGAGGGAAGGATCCCGACTACTATCATGAGGATCACATCCTCTTCTTCTCCTTGTGCTAGACCTTGGTAATGCACTCGGGGAAGAAGGGGATGCGACCATCATCAACGGTCAAAATATTAATGAGAGAGTGTCCACCATATACACCGCCACTTGAGAGCTGAGAGTTCTTCAAGGCAGACTCACTGGACTAAAAGGTCAACCCACACGCCAAAATAGTGATATGTGTGTTGGTATCCTAGAATTCAACACACATGTCCTTTTAGGTGTGAGATTACATCCTAGAATTTCATATATACTTATATTATTTTTCATTGTGTGGTAGAAGGTGCTAGCATCTTTCTCGACGTTATGGCTTCCACCGATGACGCAGCTTCTTCTAGGGTCAACTCCACAGTCGAGGAGTCGCGCGCGAGTGAGGACCGCTTGGCGGCGCTCCTTAAGGTGGACCCACAACTCATCCTTATTAAAAAAATTGAGGATCTTTCCAAGAGGGAAGAAGTACCTAAGGAGAGTGTCGACCTTGTGCCACTGATTCCGCCGGCCGCCATTCCCGGCGACGCTTGCTCCTCCACTGAGGGGGAGATCCCCACCTCTTCCGACTCCACACTCATCGGCTTCACAGACTACCAGTCTGGATAGACCTCCATTCTAAGAGTAGCCTTGTTAGATAGTTTGATGCTGATGTACTGAATGTAGCTACTGATGTCGACTTCTGATGGTGCTTTTGGGTATCTGAATCATTAATGCTTATGTTGTCTATGTTATTTTTTTCTTCTAAAATCCGATTGCTTCTCATGTTTTGCTTGTTCAAATCATGCGTGTTCTTCTCTTGGTAGATGAGGTGGCATACGGTGTGTAGAGGGAGGTCTCCTGGAGTGTACGATACGTGGGAGGAATGTAGTGAACAGGTGGACGGTCACAACAATACCTTCTATAAAGGGTTTCCAACTAGGCAGCAGGCAGAGGATCATTACTCCAAGTTCGTGCTCATAGCGAAGTGCAATGATGGAGTAGGCAAGGGTGTAGGTCAGACCGGGTTTGATGGGCTGAAGAACATAATCTTTGTTCAGTTCGTCGTCATTTTGGTATCGATGATATCTTGCACGGTTAGTATACATTGGGGAAAATGTTACTTCTTTTCTATTGATGTTATATTTGCTATTCTTCTTCTACAACTGATGAAATATCTTTCGTGATTGTTTTACAGATGATGCAACAAAATGCAAACGGTATGGCGAAGCAAGCTTGGTTGTGAACTTACGCTTTTTATTTTGAACTTAGATCTCAAACTTCTTTGTAAACTTTGTATTGATGTTTACTTACAAACTTAAAACCCAAGATTGAAACTATGTATGTTGTTGAAAATTTGCATCTAAATTTTCTTGTCATAATGAATTTGTAGGTTTGCAAAGAGGATGCCATCAACGGTGGACGTACATGCTATGTTCTTAGCAGTGGAGCTCATGGGTGCGAACTGTGTGTTGATGAACAATATGGTTATGTTTGGTGTGAATGTGCAACTATGTTACCAATTATGCACTCGCGAACTTGGTTTTGGTTCTAAATTTGTTGGATATGTATGCACTTGACGGAGTTATATATGCATGTGTGAACTTGATGTATCTATCGTTGGATATGTATGCATATTTTGAACTTGATGGAGTTATCTATGCATGTGTATACTCGATGTATCTATTGTTGGATATATATTGATGGAGTTATATATTCTTTTGTTTCAATTGCAGGGTTGTCACAACAAACAGATAGAAAAATGCAGTTTGGTATATAAGCCGAGTATTACACTCAGCTTACGACTTCTAAGCCGTCTAGCCCATGATAAAGCACTCGGTGTATGTAGCTAAGCCGTACCGCCCAGTAAATGCACTCGGCTTGTATTCATCTAAAAGCCGCGTATCTATAAACGCACTCGGCTTACAGAACCACAAGAACCAGTCTGCACCTACCGGTTTAGTTATAGCCGAGTGTCGGCCCACATAGTACACGGTTTATATGTGACACGTGGCAAATGCTCGAGCCCCGACCAGTGTTAGAAAGCCAGACACGGCATATGAATAAACGGTGACTCTTAAAGGACTTTCGGCTTATAACCAGCACTCGGCTTATCTGTAAGCCATGCACTTCCCGCAACACACGGCTAAGCTACAGTAGATGTTATGGCTTACGTGTAAATCGTGTATTCTACCTAGCACGCGGCTTATAAGAACACTCGGCTTACAGGTGGGCCACGTGGCACGTCTGCTTCATGTTGCCGGTCGTGATCCCACTTTGTTTGCCGTGTGCCCCTACTTTATACTCTCAGCTTACCTATAAGTTGTATGCCCGATAAGTGACACTCGGCTTATAGACTCTAAGCTGAAACATTCTAAGCCGAATGCACTATGCCAAGTGTAACACTCAACTTACTGTTCGCCGTGTTTAAAATGACCTTTGCCATGTATGAAACATACACGGCTGAGAAGTATTTCCTGTAGTGAGGCCAATAAGGTATTAGGAAATAAAATTCTAAAATATAATTAGGAAATTAAATCACGACAAGATTAAGTAACATTTATTTAATATGGGCACAATCACATTAATACAGGAAGTCAAATCATGGATTAAATTACTACCGGAAAATGCATTGTCGATCAAGTTAAGAAAGTCCTTCATATGCATGGTTATGAAAGGCGGCAACACGATCTTAACGACGATTGTCCTTCCATATACTTATCTTAATATACGCTATGCAAAGCAGGCCGGCGCTCATTCCGTTTTGAGTTTTCCAATCTCCAGGTCGACTTCGACTTATTCCACCATCATCGATGGCAAGCGTCACGTTCCCGGCGACGGAGTCCATGATGGAACTCTTCGCGATCCCCGGCTTCTCTAATCTCTGGCTGAAGCCCCCTGGCTCCCCGACGACCCTGATCCGGTGGTTGTTCTTCCGCGGAGCCTGGGAAGTCAAGTTGACTCCCGATGATTTCATCAGGGGCGTACCTAACAGTGTCATTGTCTGGATCTCTCCCCA